TCAATCAATCAGTTAATCAATGACATATTCAGAGATCAGCTCATATAATAACACTCACTCACAACGCGATTATTGAGCACAGCCAGCGATCAGACACGCGGATATGAATGGAAATATGAAAGATGTGTATGTGTGTGTGTGTGTGTGTGTGTCAGTAATAAACACCTCATCTGTCAGTCAGTGTGAAACAGTATTACAGTAATATCTGTGTTTATTATCACTCATATCGTGTGTATTAGAGCAGCGATCAAACCAATAAGCATAACCAATAATAACTAGCACGTTCTGTGGATCATACGCGCTGTTTGTCATCTGTCTCTGCTCTGTAGTTCAGAGCTCATTAATGATGCATTAATCTCTAATGTGGAGCAGGAGTGATGATGATGATGATGTGTTCTGCGCATGCTCAGTTCAGTTCGATTCATTTATCAACAGACTGAGTGAATCAGTGCATTTCATTTCTCAGACTGATCTGATCACAGAACAAAGACTTTATAACTGACTGGATAAGAGAGAGAATCATTATCAGGACGCCTCCTCTTACCTCTTCACGCTTTAAATCATAGACACAAACGATAGTGAAGCAATAAAAATCAATATGAGTTAAAAAAATCAATAGAACAATCAATATGGTCTCAAGCAGCTGAATATTAAAGCATTAGTTCACCCAGAAATGAGCATTTGCTGAAGATGTGGATGAGTTTGTCTCTTCATCAGGTTTGTAGAAATGTTTCATCACATCAGTGTCTCAGCAGTGGATGCTCTGCAGTGAATGGGTGCCGTCAGAAGCCTCATCTAAAAGTGTTCTGGTGTGAATCAGGAGAGAAATCTGCACAGATCAAGCAGCGTAAAGTTGGTGCAATCCGGGATGCACCAGCACCCACCTGTGTGAAGGAGCTGAGAGCTTTTCTGGGTTTGGTCAACTACTGAAGTGTATAAAGTGCTATACAAATAAAGGTGACTTGACTTACCTTTGGGGTCTTTGCTATATTCCAATATCATTATGCCTGAGTTACAGATTAAGAGGAGTTGTTTTAGATGTACTTACGGTTTGCTGCTGTGTTTAATAAAGTATGTTGTTAAAATAACATTCTATTCTGTAAATGCATTGTCTGCTGGTTTATTTAGCTATTTTTCAGTACACCACATTAAGTTTGCCACTTAGTACCGTGAGACTATGAATGTGAAAGTGCAAATGAACACCTGACCACTCGTGTGGGTTTGCTAATGTTAAAACCACAGAAGGGTAAAAACATGCCAGGCAGACATTAATATGATGAGCAACACAGCTACAACAAATAAAACTGATAATGTGTGTGTTAGATTTATAGTGTGCGAATAATCAAGCACGGATAATAATCAGCCGTATTGGTGGCACTGAGGGACCCCCAAATAATAAATAGGGCCCCATAAAGGCTTGAGCCGGCCCTGAACTATCCAGTGAAAGCCAGTGCTGTTCGGTTCCTGAAGGAGACGGAATGATGAACTAACCTGAGCTCTGAGTGAGCAGAAGATGTTCCTGTGCTGCTGTGTGGTTATAGAGCTCTGCTGACACCACATGTGGAGCAAACCAGACACTGAGCTGCTATATATAGTGTGAACACACACACACACACTCACACACACACACACACACATCAGCCACACACACTCATCAGCCACACACACTCACACATCAGCCACACACACAGACACACACACACACACACCTCCCCTCGTCTGTCAGTCCGCTGGTGATCATGGCGGCGGTGTGGTTGTTTCGCCGGTTCGTGTCTCTGTCGGTTCCGCGGCTCGTCGGGACTCAGCAGCAGCACCAGCACCGGACCGTAGTGAGCACCACCTCCGGAGCCATTCTGCCCAAACCCAAGAAAGTGCGTGAGTAAATAAATCAGTCAATCAGTTAATCAATGACATATTCAGAGATCAGCTCATATAATAACACTCACTCACAACGCGATTATTGATCACAGCCAGCGATCAGACACGCGGATATGAATGGAAATATGAAAGATGTGTATGTGTGTGTGTGTGTGTGTGTGTCAGTAATAAACACCTCATCTGTCAGTCAGTGTGAAATAGTATTACAGTAATATCTGTGTTTATTATCACTCATATCGTGTGTATTAGAGCAGCGATCAAACCAATAAGCATAACCAATAATAACTAGCACGTTCTGTGGATCATACGCGCTGTTTGTCATCTGTCTCTGCTCTGTAGTTCAGAGCTCATTAATGATGCATTAATCTCTAATGTGGAGCAGGAGTGATGATGATGATGATGTGTTCTGCGCATGCTCAGTTCAGTTCGATTCATTTATCAACAGACTGAGTGAATCAGTGCATTTCATTTCTCAGACTGATCTGATCACAGAACAAAGACTTTATAACTGACTGGATAAGAGAGAGAATCATTATCAGGACGCCTCCTCTTACCTCTTCACGCTTTAAATCATAGACACAAACGATAGTGAAGCAATAAAAATCAATATGAGTTAAAAAAATCAATAGAACAATCAATATGGTCTCAAGCAGCTGAATATTAAAGCATTAGTTCACCCAGAAATGAGCATTTGCTGAAGATGTGGATGAGTTTGTCTCTTCATCAGGTTTGTAGAAATGTTTCATCACATCAGTGTCTCAGCAGTGGATGCTCTGCAGTGAATGGGTGCCGTCAGAAGCCTCATCTAAAAGTGTTCTGGTGTGAATCAGGAGAGAAATCTGCACAGATCAAGCAGCGTTTAAACAGCTCTAAACTAATATGTGGCTGGATTTTGATGTGAGAGACAACAGCAGATGGACTTTTTCACTGCAGGAAGAGTTATTATGGATTATGGACTCTATGGTATTTTAGTTAAAACGTCTTGATGCTGGATTTGTTTCAGCTTTTGTCTTCTCCAGATGTTAACTGATGGACTGGAGTGCTGTGGATTACTTGTGGATTATTGTGATGTTTTTATCAGCTGTTTGGACTCTCATTCTGACGGCACCCATTCACTGCAGAGCATCCATTGCTGAGACACTGATGCAATGCTACATTTCTACAAATCTGATGAAGAAACAAACTCATCCTAATGAGTCTGAGCACATCTTCAGACTCTACTTGTAACACTCCTTGACTAGTTGAGTCCTGGTAACCCGCTGGTGTTGTCCTCAGACGGCGTTCGGTCTGGTGAGGATCCTGATGGTCGTGGCTCCGTTCCTGTACGTCGGGACCCTGATCAGTAAGAACTTCGCAGCTCTGCTGGAGGAACATGATATATTCGTGCCTGAGGATGATGATGATGACGACTGATCACAGGTCAGCGGTGTAACCTGCGTGTGTGTGTCTGTGTGTGTGTCAGACTCTCACACTGGTGTTTGTTTCCACAGATGCTGCTGATTCACTCCATGAACTCAAGCGCTGTGTGCTTCACAGGAATCAGTTCTCTTCGTCTGTTCATTACTGTGCATTTATGAAGATTCATGAGCAGTTGAATTCTTGATTCTGATTGGCTGACCCGAGTGTTGATCACTGATCTATAATAAAGAACATAAACCCTACCATTCAAGAGCTCGAGGTCACTGTGATTCTTCTACTTTAATTCTTAAAATCAACTCTTCTATTCATCAGGGATGCATTAAATTGATCTAAAGTGACAGTAAAGACATTTATAATGTTATAAAAGATTTCTATTTCAAATAAATGTTCTTTTGAACTTTCTATTCATCTGTGAATCCTGAAAAATAATGCATCACAGTTTCCACAGAAATATTGAACGGTTTTCAACATTGATAATAATCAGAAATGTTTCTTGAGCAGTAAATCAGCATATTAGAATGATTTCTGAAGATCATGTGACACTGAAGACAGGAGCAGAAGATACTCTCAGAAACACTACAGAAGTCTCACAGACTGCAGATTTTGAGCAGCTGTGTATATGATATACATTAGATATTACACATTTGATGATGCCATGACTGCTGTCGGTTATGTTTTGAATGCTGAACACTTTTTGAGAGAATAAATTATAATTTATCTAAAGAATCATAAATTACTCAAATATGTGAAGCAAGTTAATTACAGCCGAACATCAACACAGAGCTGAGAAGCAAAAAATATAAGTGTATATTCATATAATCCACTGATCGTGTGATTGAGGAGCGGACGATCATCAGCCGATATAACGATGATATCAATGACACACAGAGACCGGAGAGTTTCAGCATCAGAGTTTATTTACAGTCCAGAACACACGCTTGCGGAGGTCAGATCACACGTGTAGCAGGAACACGCTCACGGCGGTCAGATCACACGTGTAGCAGGAACACGCTCACAGAGGTCAGATCACGCATGTAGCAGGAACACGCTCGCGGAGGTCAGATCACGCGTGTAGCAGGAACACGCTCGCAGAGGTCAGATCACGCATGTAGCAGGAACACGCTCGCGAAGGTCAGATTATGCGTGTAGCTGAAACACACTCGTGTAGGTCAGATCACACGTGTAGCAGGAACACGCTCGCGAAGGTCAGATTATGCGTGTAGCTGAAACACGCTCGTGTAGGTCAGATCATGCGTGTAGCAGGAACACGCTCGTGTAGGTCAGATCACGCGTGTAGCAGGAACACGCTCGCAGAGGTCAGATCACGCATGTAGCAGGAACACGCTCGCGAAGGTCAGATTATGCGTGTAGCTGAAACACACTCGTGTAGGTCAGATCACACGTGTAGCAGGAACACGCTCGCGAAGGTCAGATTATGCGTGTAGCTGAAACACGCTCGTGTAGGTCAGATCATGCGTGTAGCAGGAACACGCTCGTGTAGGTCAGATCACGCGTGTAGCAGGAACACGCTCACGAAGGTCAGATCACGCGTGTAGCATGAACGCGTGTAGCAGGAACATGCTCGCGGAGGTCAGATCACGTGTGTAGCAGGAACATGCTCGCTGAGGTCAGATCACGCGTGTAGTAGGAACACGCTCGCGGAGGTCATATCACGCGTGTAGCAGAAACACGCTCGCGAAGGTCAAATCACGCGTGTAGCAGGAACACTCTCATGGCGGTCAGATCACGCGTGTAGCAGGAACACGCTCACGGTGGTCAGATCATGCGTGTAGCAGAAACACGCTCACGCTCTTTTCTCCTTACAGTTTGTGAGTGATATGAAGAAGATATGATTGAGATTGAAGATTAAAAACACTAAACATGTTAGATCAATGATTGTAAATCAGGGGTCCAGGGCCCACTGAAGGTCTCAAGATGACTTAACACAGAACAAACATTCAGATCAGATAAAAGAACCAAAAATTAAGGTATTTCTTATTTTAATGCATTTTTTTGTCCATGAAAAATAGGATTCTCAGTTTCGTAAAACCGGGATATTTGAAAGAAGTTTGATTGCTAGAACAGGAAAAGTCATGGAAATTAATATCTAAAAAAAACCTATGACGACTTTGAATATTGTTGTGGACAGTGGGTGGACTTGAGTCAAAAACATCTGATTTAGACTTAGTTTAGTGTCACTAGCAATATAAATACACTCAGATTATCTTAAACACATTTAACATGAACAGTCTTTAACACTAGTTAGTCAATCACTGCCACATCAACTCACCTCTGCTGGTTATTAACACAACTGACCCGTTCTGGTTTCGCTTCAATGGCAATCAACACTCAATTTACCACAACTCTGAACTTTTCACTTCTGATTCTTCATATGATTTCAGCTTTGTGAAGACAAAACATTGTAATAAGATTTAAAGGACAATCACTCACACTTCACAGAGACCAAATAACCCAAGTTTTATTAGTCATAGTGCTATATGTTTACATATGCGTTAAACTCTAAAATTAAATATGACAACATCTTTAAAAAAAAAACATTGGCTCATTAAAGCAAAGCTCTTTTTGTTTTTGTGGCACAAAGGACACACACACACACTGGTACTGGAGGCACATAATCAGATATTAGTTTGGCAGATAAACGCACTGAGACTCTGATTGTTCACATACGTATGTGTGTGTGTCCAGTTCTTCCACACTGCGCAGTGAGACATTCCAGTTTTGTTTCCAGGAGTCGAACACACACATACAGACATGAGAAAGTGCAGAAGCGTTTGTTCCAGTGTCCTGCAGCTGATTGGCCGGTCGAAATCCCTGCAGCTGATTGGGCTGAACTGAAGGCACGTGACTGAGGCTCCTCCCCTCAGGAGGTGTGTGCATGTGTGTTGTCGGTCTGCTGTCCCTCGTGCAGCGCGCTCAGTGCCAGTCTCAGGTGTTCTCTCAGCGCCTCGGCCTCGCGCTCGCTGCGCCTCTTCATCACGCTCAGCTCCTCACACACCTCACGGTAGCGCTCGCACACGCTGCTCTTCTCCTGACACACACGCGAAACACACACGTTACACACACAGGAAACACGCATTATACACAAACACAAACACGCGTTACACACGGGAAACACACACGTTATGGGAAACACATGTTACACAGGGACACACACACACACACACACACGGGAAACACACATGTTACACAGGGACACACGTTACACAGGGACACACACAAGTTACACACACAGGAAACACGCATTATACACAGACACAAACACGCGTTACACATGGGAAACACACACGTTACACACGGACAAAAACACGTTACACATGGGAAATATACATGTACACACAAGTTTTTTTTGTTAGTTTTTTTTTACAGTATGGCGGCGCGTGCACACGCTGCGGCTTCCCTCTCTCCCGTCAGAACGGTGTTTTCGTGAGCAAACACTGCTCACCCCTGGTGGAGTTTATGATTATTAAGCGCCGGTCGTTCTATCTACCGAGGGAATATACAGCCATACTGCTCGTTGCTGTATACATCCCTCCCAGCTCCAACAACAGCAACAGGAGCGAGGCACTAAATGAACTGTACCAGCACATCAGTGAGCAGCAGACAGCCCACCCTGATGCTTTTCTCATCTTAGCTGGGGATTTCAACCACGCAGACTTAAAGAGTGTGTTCCCAAAAATACACCAACACATAGACTTTCCAACACGGGGAAACAACAAGTACCAAACACTGTTACTTACCTGCATTTTCTTCCAGTGGCGTTGCTAGTGGGGAGGAAAGGGTGACAGAGTGCATAGGGCCCAGAGGTCTGGGGGGGCGATACTGGCTATCGGGAACACCTGGACATTCCATTCAAGTGGGCCGATCGCCGAAATGAAGGAGACCTCACTGATATTAGGCGCTGTTTTTAAATTACAGCGCATGCGAAGCCGCATAAAGTTAATACTCTAAAAGCACGAAGCAGCGCTACCCGATGCATCCGCCAGCCACGCGTCAAAGCAGAGCGGGATCAGTCTCCCGCACAGTGCTGACAAACGTGCGCCGTGCTTCTGCTACGATTTATAAGTGATAAATATATTTGCACTGTTGTTTACTTCACTGATTTGCACTCTTATTTGCCATGTGCCTTGTGCTGCTTTATGTATTTTTTTATATGTTTTTTTTACATTTTACCTTATTTGTATATTTGTATAGTTGTATTTTATATTTAATCTGTATCTATCTGTATTTATGTTCGACTGTTAGTGTTATCTGTATGCACCAAGGGTCTGAGAGTAACGCAATTTCAATTCTCTGTGTGTATGTGCTGTACATGTGGAAGAATTGACAATAAAGCAGACTTGACTTGACTTCATTACAAACAGGAAACAACTACACACATAATATATATGAACACAAACACGCACTACACACAAACACACACAAGCATTACACACACACACACAAACACAGGTGTGTTACCGTGGTGAGGAAGTGCAGCTGGTTGCGGAGGCTGTTGAGCTGTTTGTGTAAGTACTGCAGTTCATTCTCTCGCACACGCAGCAGCACCTGCCACACACACATGACAAAACACAGCAGAGGTTTGATTTCAAGCAGAAACACTTCAAACATTATTTAAAGTAGGGCTGGGCGATACGGCCAACAAAAATTATCACCATTTTCCATATCGGTCGATATCGATAATTATCACAAATGTCAAATCTTTATTTCTTTCAAATTTAACGGCAGATTTTTGCTCCTGAATGAAAGTTGTAAAAACCAGGCAGTTAATTGTGGTTTTAAATGACTTTCCACACTTTCCAAACAAGTGAACGATTGAGGTAAAATACTGAGGTAGAATCTGCTGAAGTGAAGTACATGTACAAGTAGTGTTCTTTTATTAATTTGTAGCGCTTGTTTTTTGACATTCCTTGACAAATAGGGCTAGTTATTACAAATCGATCTGATTCTGAATCACTAGCTCTTGGTTAGTTTGTGGTTATATCATGTGCATTGCATGTGACAGAAACTCATTCCCATGTTACAGTGGGTGATATGCAGTCACTGTGTCACCTGTGTCTCACACCACGACCTCTCAGTGCTGTCAGTCAGTCCGTCTGACCCTTGACCTGTGACCAGAGACCGAATGACCTTCACCTCCTCCGACAGACGCGCCTGCAGATCCTACACACACACACACATAAAATTAATGCTGCACGTTCACACACAACGAACCCATTCAGCCTCAGACTGCAAAACAAGGTAACGGCAAGATTAAAACACCAATAATATCCAGAATAAATAGATTCTGTGCATATGCAGGACTTTTAATTATAAGCAAGCCTGAA